TGAGCGTACAAATGACACTGGTAGCCGAGGATATATCCCAACGTCCCGACGGCACTAGATGGTAAGCTTGGGCATAGTTATATCATAGAATCACCTCACTTTGTGGGGCCACATGAGCAACACAAATGCAAACACGCTTGAATGGTCCCCAAGCCAATATGCAACTGAAAAGAATGTAATCTTCTATATAAATAAAAATGGAAATGTTCGTTTGTGCATAACCGCTAATCAAAAGTTCTTCACTGATTGCCTTGAAATTTTGACACAATGTTGTATTTGAATAGGCGCGTCTTTTTATACATCTACTATATACATACCTCACCTGTGATGGGAAAAAAAAACATTTTTTTTTTTAAACAGCGCCATCTGTTGGACGTAAGAGCAACACACGCTGTAATCTCCAAAAGTTCTTCACCAATTGCTTTGAAATTTTAACACAACGTTGCATTCGAATAGGCACATCTCTTTATATACCTACTATATAGATGCCACCCTGGTGACAGGTATAAACATGCGTTTTTATCAAACAGCACCATCTGTTGCACGTGATAGCAACATGCACGCTGTACTAAATATGTCACGAATTCCATATCAACGCTGCCGATTGCATTGATAAATTTTATTTTCATATATTTCGATTTATTTTATTGAATTATTTTGTGTAACATTGTGTTGGAATTCAGCTGTGTTGTTTACCATACCGTTCATTTTGTGAGTATAGTTTATTTTTATATTTTTTCATTTAATTTTTTAACTGTTTTTCTGATATTTCAGTGATGAGAATATCAGATCCCTTGATGTTCCCAATTTTCTGATGTGAACATCAGACCACTTGGGAGGGCATTGGACGAGGGAGAGGGGAAAGGTGGGGATGACGATGGGACGGAAGTGAGAGATGGTGGGGAGGATGAGGGGACAAGGGAAGGGGTAATGGTGGGGAAGGACGAGGGGACGGAGGAGTTTGGGATGGTGGGGACGAGGGGATGGGGGAATGGAAAATGGTGAGAAGGACAAAGGGATAGAGGAGTGGGGCATGGTGGGAAGGAAGAGGGTATCGTGGAGTGGGGAATGGTGGGGAGGACGAGGGGATGGTGGAGTGGGGAATGGTGGGGAGGCCGAGGAGATGGGTGAGGGGGAAATGGTGGGGAGGACTGGGGGACAGGGAAGGTTGCTGTGGCTCAGCAACGCACATGTATTGCTAAACCACAGCAACGCGTGGCCGGGTACAGCTAGTTATATATCTATAATTTAAAAGAAGCCAACACTGACTAAGCATTTCTGAAGTTGTTATTCTAAGAATATGTTTTCTATGTTTCTATTTACTTAGTATCAGCAATAAGAACAATCAAGTTACCAAAGTTCATGTTAAAAATCTAGTAATTATTGAAGGATTTATATACTACAACGTTTCGTTCCTCTGCAGAACATCTTCAGGTAAACAATGGATAAATGAGGTACAATTTGAGTTTAAATAAACATATGAAATGGTGGAAGGAGTATGGGGGCAATCAAATATTGGGCAGGGGAATAGCGTTTGTCAAACATACTATAAGGGGATAGGGCCAATCAAACATTGACCATGTATGGTGCCAATCAAACATTGACCTTGTATGGTGCCAATCAAACGTTGACCTTGTATGGTGCCAATCAAACGTTGACCTTGTATGGTGCCAATCAAACGTTGACCTTGTATGGTGCCTATCAAACATTGACCTTGTATGGGGCTAGTCAAACGTTGACCTTGTATGGGGCAGGTCAAACGTTGATCTTGTATGGGGGCCAATCAAACACTGGGAAAGGTGTTGGCTAAACTCCGGTACTCTCGGTGGGTGGGGAGACCTCGGTTGAGACGTCGCATTATGCGATGATGTATGGAGAGATCTGGATCTCAGTGTCGGCATGGAAACGAGGTCATTATTTTGAATATTTAAAGATTTTTTTATTCTGTTATAAGTATTGCTTCGAGGATTTGCAATCTTCTTTGGTCCATGATGGATTTCAGGATTTTTGTATTATCTACTGGAATGTTCCTAGTGTGTGTTTTGTTAGGTTCAATTTGCGTATCATTTCTGTGAGCACCAGTTTGTTGATGGCAAATCAGTCTTCACGAAAGTTTTGTGGTGGTCATTCCAATATAGGTAAATCAAAGAAACATCCTTCATTGGTGCAAGTAAATTGGTACATCACATTTGTGCGTCTCTACAGTGTTGTTAGCACTCACTAATGTGTTGAAATGAGTTTGAATGTCGCGTTTTTAGCACTTACTAATGTGTTCAATCGCATGTGTGTGTATCTCAGCAATGTTAATAGCACTCACTAACCAGTTAATCTCCACAGTGTTGCCAACACTCAGTAACCTGTTAATCTGCACAGTGTTGCCAGCACTCACTAACATGTTAATATGTACAGTGTTGCCAACACTCACTAACATGTTAATATGTACAGTGCTGCCAACATTCACTAACCTGTTAATCTGTACAGTGTTGCCAACACTCATTAACATGTTAATCAGTACAGTGTTGCCAACACTGCCTAACCTGTTAATCTGTACAGTGTTGCCAACACTCAGTAACCTGTTAATCTGTACAGTATTGTCAACACTCACTAACCTGTTAATCTGTACAGTGTTGCCAACACTGCCTAACCTGTTAATCTGTACAGTGTTGCCAACACTCAAAAGCCTGTTAAACTGTACAGTGTTGTCAACACTCACTAACCTGTTAATCTGTACAGTGTTGCCAACATTCACTATCCTGTTAATCTGTACAGTGTTGCCAAAACTCATTAACATGTTAATATTTACAGTGTTGCCAACAGTCACTATCCTGTTAATCTGTACAGTGTTGCCAACACTCATAAATATGTTAATCTGTACAGTGTTGCCAACACTCACTAACCTGTTAATCTGTACAGTGTTGCCAACACTCATAAATATGTTAATCTGTACAGTGTTGCCAACACTCACTAACCTGTTAATCTGTACAGTGTTGCCAACACTCATAAATATGTTAATCTGTACAGTGTTGCCAACACTCATAAATATGTTAATCTGTACAGTGTTGCCAACACTCATAAATATGTTAATCTGTACAGTGTTGCCAACACTCACTAACCTGTTAATCGGTACAGTGTTGCCAACACTCATTAATCACAATGGTGTTCGTGTGAACTCTGTCACTTTTTCGTACATCTTTTGACGGAAACAGAAGTAAAATAACACTAAGTTTACGGGCTATTCATGCCCGTGCCACATCTTAAGTGACTTAATCTTCATCAATCAACATAATAATAAGTGTAAAGTATTCATCACACAAGTTCCTCAGTGTTGGCCTTCACCACACTCTTCGTCTGACACTGACGCCCGGGAGAGTGTCACACTCTTCGTCTGACACTGACGCCCGGGAGAGTGTCACACTCTTCGTCTGACACTGACGCCCGGGAGAGTGTCACACTCTTCGTCTGACACTGACGCCCAGGAGAGTGTCACACTCTTCGTCTGACACTGACGCCCAGGAGAGTGTCACACTCTTCGTCTGACACTGACGCCCAGGACAGTGTCACACTCTTCGTCTGACACTGACGCCCAGGAGAGTGTCACACTCTTCGTCTGACACTGACGCCCAGGAGAGTGTCACACTCGTCGTCTGACACTGACGCCCAGGAGAGTGTCACACTCTTCGTCTGACACTGACGCCCAGGAGAGTGTCACACTCTTCGTCTGACACTGACGCCCGGGAGAGTGTCAGATGCGTCAAAAAATGTTGCCAACTCCAGAACTTTTCTTGTGCTCAGATGGTCTCAGCCAAGATCCTATGAGCCAGCTGGAGCATATAGTCTTCAGGTGGAACCCCCTGGGTGTTGACGGAGTGCTCAGGGAGTCTTGGCGTAGATGTAAACTTCGACCAGCTGGAGCATATAGTCTTCAGGTGGGACCCCCTGGGTGTTGACGGAGTGCTCAGGGAGTCTTGGCGTAGATGTAAACTTCGACCAGCTGGAGCATATAGTCTTCAGGTGGGACCCCCTGGGTGTTGACGGAGTGCTCAGGGAGTCGTGGCGTAGATGTAAACTTCGACCAGCTGGAGCATATCATTCTCGGCTGTGACTCGCTGGATGCTGACGTACCTGCCGGTGACGCCGGCAGCACTGGGGCAAGAGAGGAGCTGGTCAGCAGCAGCGTAGGGCCCCAGGTAGGTGGAGAAGAGCACGTAGGAGCTGAAGTTGCCAGTTGTGAGGAGACTGCCGCCCACCCGCACCTGACGACAAAACATCCTCATTCATATATTACACAAACTATCCACTCTGCGCCTAGAAGGAAATTTTGTTTCAAACTTGCTGCATAGTTTATGAAGATTAGCTTTAATAATAAATAAAATGAGTTGACAATTATATGTTGTCCTCGATCAACAACTCATTAATTATTTTCTCTTATTGGCTTATTGACATTAGGCCCAGGCAGACATTCATATTATTAGGCCTGTCTAAAGTGTACCTCGAAATATACTTAGACTATTTGAACACATTTTGTGATACTTTGAACTAGATTATTGTCAGTGATCATATGTATTGGGTTGTGGAAGAGGCGGGATGTTCTTGGGATGTGGAAGAGGTGGGATGTTCTCAGGCTGTGGAAGAGGCGGGATGTTCTCGGGTTGTGGAAGAGGCGGGATGTTCTCAGGCTGTGGAAGAGGCGGGATGTTCTCGGGTTGTGGAAGAGGCGGGTTGTTCTCGGGCTGTGGAAGAGGCAGGATATTCTCGGGCTGTGGAAGAGGCAGGATGTTCTTGGGTTGTGGAAGAGGCGGGATGTTCTCGGGTTGTGGAAGAGGCGGGATGTTCTCGGGTTGTGGAAGAGGCGGGATGTTCTCGGGTTGTGGAAGAGGTGAGATGTTCTCGGGTTGTGGAAGAGGCGGGTTGTTCTCGGGTTGTGGAAGAGGCAGGATGTTCTCGGGCTGTGGAAGAGGCGGGGTGTTCTCGGGCTGTGGAAGAGGCGGGATGTTCTCGGGTTATGGAAGAGGCAGGATGTTCTCGGGTTGTGGAAGAGGCGGGATGTTCTCGGGCTGTGGAAGAGGCAGGATGTTCTCGGGTTGTGGAAGAGGCGGGATGTTCTCGGGTTGTGGAAGAGGCAGGATGTTCTCGGGTTGTGGAAGAGGCGGGATGTTCTCGGGTTGTGGAAGAGGCGGGATGTTCTCGGGTTGTGGAAGAGGCAGGATGTTCTCGGGCTGTGGAAGAGGCGGGATGTTCTCGGGTTGTGGAAGAGGTGAGATGTTCTCGGGTTGTGGAAGAGGCGGGATGTTCTCGGGCTGTGGAAGAGGCAGGATGTTCTCGGGCTGTGGAAGAGGCAGGATGTTCTCGGGTTGTGGAAGAGGTGAGATGTTCTCGGCTTGTGGAAGAGGCAGGATGTTCTCGGGCTGTGGAAGAGGCAGGATGTTCTCGGGTTGTGGAAGAGGTGAGATGTTCTCGGGTTGTGGAAGAGGCGGGATGTTCTCGGGCTGTGGAAGAGGCAGGATGTTCTCGGGTTGTGGAAGAGGTGGGATGTTCTCGGGTTGTGGAAGAGGCGGGATGTTCTCGGGTTGTGGAAGAGGTGGGATGTTCTCGGGCTGTGGAAGAGGCAGGATGTTCTCGGGTTGTGGAAGAGGTGGGATGTTCTCGGGCTGTGGAAGAGGCAGGATGTTCTCGGGTTATGGAAGAGGCAGGATGTTCTCGGGTTGTGGAAGAGGCGGGATGTTCTCGGGTTATGGAAGAGGCAGGATGTTCTCGGGTTGTGGAAGAGGCGGGATGTTCTCGGGTTGTGGAAGAGGCGGGTTGTTCTCGGGTTGTGGAAGAGGCAGGATGTTCTCGGGCTGTGGAAGAGGCGGGATGTTCTCGGGCTGTGGAAGAGGCGGGATGTTCTCGGGTTATGGAAGAGGCAGGATGTTCTCGGGTTGTGGAAGAGGCGGGATGTTCTCGGGCTGTGGAAGAGGCAGGATGTTCTCGGGTTGTGGAAGAGGCGGGATGTTCTCGGGTTGTGGAAGAGGCAGGATGTTCTCGGGTTGTGGAAGAGGCGGGATGTTCTCGGGTTGTGGAAGAGGCGGGATGTTCTCGGGTCGTGGAAGAGGTGAGATGTTCTCGGGTTGTGGAAGAGGCGGGATGTTCTCGGGTTGTGGAAGAGGCGGGATGTTCTCGGGTTATGGAAGAGGCAGGATGTTCTCGGGTTGTGGAAGAGGCGGGATGTTCTCGGGCTGTGGAAGAGGCAGGATGTTCTCGGGTTGTGGAAGAGGCGGGATGTTCTCGGGTTGTGGAAGAGGCAGGATGTTCTCGGGTTGTGGAAGAGGCGGGATGTTCTCGGGCTGTGGAAGAGGCGGGATGTTCTCGGGTTGTGGAAGAGGCGAGATGTTCTCGGGCTGTGGAAGAGGTGGTATATTCTCGGGTTGTGGAAGAGCTATGATGTTCACGGGTTATGGAAGATGCGGGATGGTCTCGTGCCTGTACGCCTCTTCTTAGAGGTGTACACATAAATGTGGAAGAGGATAGGTTGAGTCTTATACAGAGTAGCACATAAGAGTTACAAGGAGCCGTCTAGTGGCTATAACAACACTCCTGATGTGATAAATATAGAAATGATGACATGAATATAATAAACATTTTGGGATTTTTTTTTTTTTTAAGATATATACACGAGTTGTTACATTCTTGTACAGCCACTAGTACGCGTAACGTTTCGGGCAGGTCCCCGGAATACGATCCCCGCCGCGAAGAATCGTTGTTACAATCAAGTACACATTTTACTGTTGAGTTAAACAGAGGCTACAGTTAAGGAATTGCGCCCAGTAAATCCTCCCCGGCCAGGATACGAACCCATGACAAAGCGCTCACGGAACGCCAGGCGAGTGTCTTACCACTACACCACAGAGACTTTTCTCATCAAATAAAATGTTTAACATAGAATGTAGTAATGAATTGCTACTGTTTTGGGGTTAATTAAATCATTTACCCCTAAAACAGTAGTAATTTGTAGTTACAAACGTATAACATTTTCTCTTAAACGTCTTCTAGAGAGAAATGGTCTCGTACGCAAGTTTTTTGGGTAACTTATTTATTTTGTTCTTTATGTCTTAATTAACCCCCAAAGCAGTAATAATTTATAGCTAATTTAATTACTACTGTTTTTGGTAGTTATTTGTAGTAGTAACTACAAATTACTACTGTTTTGGGGGTTAATTAGGACATAAAGAACAAAATAAATAAGTTACCCCAGAAGATGGGCGTTCAATATCATTTCTCTCTAGACGACGTATAACAGAAAATGTTTTGCCACGTCGCCTAAAACCATCTCACCTGATTGCATATTTTAACCCTAAAGGTGTCAGTCATTACATTACAGTGACCAGGACAGTGACTATACAGTGACTATGGCAGTGAACCGTACAGTGACCGAGACAGTGACTAGTACATTGACTCGGACTGTGATTAGTTCATTGACTAGGACAGTGACCAGGACAGTGACTGATACAGTGACCTGGGCAGTTACCAGGACAGTAACTAGTACAGTGATGCAGGAAAGTTACCAGGACAGTGACCAGTACAGTGATGCAGGAAAATTACCAGGACAGTGTCCAGTACAGTGATGCAGGAAAGTTACCAGGACAGTGACCAGTACAGTGATGCAGGAAAATTACCAGGACAGTGATGCAGGAAAGTTACCAGGACAGTGACCAGTACAGTGATGCAGGAAAATTACCAGTAGAGTGATGCAGGAAAGTTACCAGGACAGTGACCAGTACAGTGATGCAGGAAAATTACCAGTACAGTGATGCAGGAAAATTACCAGTACAGTGATGCAGGTGTAACGACCGCTTACCCTGTCGTAATAACCGCGGCCTCTATTGTAATAACCCAATGTTCCCCAGTATTAATCCTGTTATCTTGTGATCTCTCATAATCGTACTATACGCTCTCTATTGTAATTCTCCGTCTTTCTTCACTCAATACCCCAGCTTAACACTGTTACAGTCCAGTATGACCCCTCACTGGACTGCCACGTATGTAAGAGGAATATTAAATGAGGAAGATACACCAAGGACAAGGGTTATTAGTAAAAAAAACAATAACAAAACACATTTACACTGCCACCACCTTCCTGACCAACCATACCTGAATGTGTCAATCACCGATCCCCCAGGAAGGCAAGGAATCAGTAACCATGGGACTCCGGGTAATATGAATTTCCGTAGTAAATTCTGGAAAATTAGTTTGTGTAATTTACGTTACTAATTTAAATCCAAGGGCAACTTTAGTATCTAATTAATAGTAGGAGAACATGGGGGCTTCCAATACAACACCTAAAAATGACAAAGTAGCAAAATATATCAAAGGGGAGTTAACTGAATACCACTGGACAAGCTATACAATTTATTTTATGAAACATGTAAATTAAGACAATTTGAACACATAACCTATTCTATTTCCCTAGAGGCACAATGGATATTTACCGAGGACACAAAACTCAAGTGCTACTCTACCTTAAATACCCGCACTACGGCCACGATGTTGATGGCTGCCCTCAGCCCCGAGGATACGGGCTTGCGGCCCTGTTCCTAATACACTCCCAAGACACACTAATGAAATTTAGTTTTTCCAGCTTATTGCTGGGAAGGATTACTCCTCCCACCATCTACTACAGCCCCAGGGCTCCACCCATTATTTTGGCACTGGCCAACCATTTAACACGTAGGCCTAAGGTCTGGCACTCTAGGGCCAATAAGGACTTGGCCCTTATCTCAGGCCAATCACCTTCACTGATCTGTCGTGGAAAGCTACATGAATTTCTGAAGATTGAGTCAGCTCTCCCCAGCTAGAGAAGGGGGACAAGGCGCGTCTATGGAGCCCAGACACCTGCGAGCAATGTTTACAAAACTGATAATTTATGTTCAAGCCTGTCTCCTCTAAGATAGGAGTAGGGACATTTGACTCTGCCTCGTATGGGGAAGAGGCCGGTGAGAGGGGAAGAGAGGGGATGAGAGGGGATGGAGAGGGGAACATCTGAGTGGGGAATTGAGTGGGAGAAGCCAAGGTATCCACGACCACCCTACCCTCAGGTCAACCTCTTGACCCTGACAAATGGGCGACAGGGGGGGGGGAAGAGGAGGAGACGAATGACGGCCACGGGGAGGGGAGAAGGAAGGAGGGGAGGAGAAGGAGAGGAGGGGAGAAGGAGAAGGAGAGGAGGGGAGAAGGAGAAGGAAAGGAGGGGAGAAGGGAGAACCAATGATCTGAGCCCCAGATCATTACAACTCCCCCTCCTCGGAAATTAAGAAATTTGTGTGTAAAGCAAGTTACACACACTTTTCTTATCCAGAAATCCTGCCCTACCCTAACCATTAACTCCAAAAACAAACTTTTTCAACCCACACTATTTTCAACCAATGCCTCAAAACAAAAGAAATTCTCTAATCCTAACTAATTCCATCCAATACTCCAACAACAATAATGGCGCACCCAAAAGGTGTGCCCCAGCATGTATTTATACCTATCAACACAACAGTAATAATTCATAAAACATAAGGACAGAGACCGTCCCTATAATCCTGACTGTCCAACTTGGATGCAGCCCCGTACCCTTCCAACTACCTGGAAGACAAAATATCCTATACCTGTCTTGATATAGTAACAAATAACTGGAGAAATCCCAACCTAACAATTACTAACTAGCTAAAATCAGCTGATAGCCTTCAGCTATCCCAGTATTCCACCCGGAATAAAGATCAAACACATCACACAAAACATTAAATAAAAAAAAATCAATGTCATTAAAAAATTTAACAAAATTATAAAATTATATCAAAATAGAAGAACACTACCTCTCAGGGACCTAGTGTTCCACTCCACACCTGTGGCAACTGTCCACCACAGCGCATCCCAATCTTAAAATCTAAAGAAAATACACAAAAATATTTTTATTATTAAAAAAAAATTCAATGTCCACAGACATGTCCCTTAACCAACAACAACACTCTGGATATAAGTTCCTCAAACTCCTAATATCCCAGAGTTCATATTCAAGTCCACAACAACAGCGGGTGAACACATTTGTCAGACTGTGTACCACATCCTTATTGTTCAGTAAACCACAAAAAAAAATAAAAAAAAAATATGTATAACTATCAGTATCTAGGATCTAGAAAAATCTAGATAAAGTTCCCCACTGATCAACGTTTCTAGAGACCCTACTAGATGGTTCTCAAACCAGTTTACTCATACAACTTATCTAGAGACAGGGTCATTTTCTAATGTTCACTTTCTAGATTTATTTCTCTATTTCACTAGTTCTAGTTTTCAACATTTAATACTGGTCCAGAGGACTTTCCGAAGGTATATAGGTGCTTACTATCAGATGGAAAATTAAAAGTTGAACTGTTCCGAGTTACCACAGTTTACTATATTAATAGCGTTTATTTGTATATGAAACTTTTCTATAAATATTTTCTCTCGTTCGTTCCTGTTGACATTTCGTTGCTGTAGATTCCGGCGACTACCTCATGTTGCTTGAAGATCCTGGTCGTCTGGAAGTTCCATTTCCGGCCTCGGCCAACTACGGACAGTACAGGGGGTCTCGTACTACCCGCACCTGACTTGAGTGACAGCTGACAGCTGGCGGCTGTCAGCTCAGGTGGAC